GCAACATAAGCTCTTTATACAGAACAGTAACCATTAACTTTGTCAGATAAATGCAGTAGAGTGAAGTCAAGTACAATACATAAGTCCCATGAAATGTCACACAGCTGAAAGAAGAAAGAATTCCTTTGTTTTTTTTTTAAGGCAGGTATTTGAATATAATTGTTGGAACCGGTGTTTTTGTTAACATCTGGCGTAAGTCCCGTAGAAATGTTTGCAAATAAGAATTAATCAGCAATATTAGATTACAGGAAGTCTTCCTCATTTCTCCTCATTTTTACAGTCTTTTGAACAGCCAGAGAACTCCGTTGTTAAGGTCCAACCTCCACTTGCGTTAATCTAATGAAACTCCCAAGATATCAGTTATCAGACTATTATTAAGTAAATCTGACACTAAGCCCCGTTTAGCTTTAGGTTCAGTGTGTTTTTTTTACTGATATTCTTGTTCTTTTCTATGGCTGTAGCCACGACAGAAGAAAAAAGCAAGTGATACACTCTGTCCTCAGTATTTTTGCATTGTGATGTGGCCGAAAGCAGCTGGTTATCCCAAATTATTTATTCTAAACTGTGAATTACTGTTAATAATTGATTAGATATCCCACACGTTTGAGCTTTTACCTTTTAAGTAAGTGTTTCTTTATTTGCCGTATGATTAAATCTGATTTACTCTCCAAAAACACAACCCTCTCACCTCTTAGTGTACATCTCTTTTCCGTGGGATAGTGTGGATGGGATTTTTTTGTATAAGCAGAAAAGGCTTTTTTTAAGCATTCCCACTTTAAAATCGATTGTTTCAAGTGTATATAAATCTTTGGCCTGTCACATTATTCTCTAGGAAGGGCAAAATAAATAACAGAGCACCAATGATTTGCTAAAGTATTGTAATATTGCTTTATGGTTGTCCACTGATGACAGAGGAGGTGCTGGGGCCAATGAGGCAATGCAGAGCAAACTACACAGTTATTTTTTAATCAGGTCTGTGGCCATTGACAGCCATTGTATGACAAAGAATTCCTTTTTCTTTTGACATCGCATACAAGTGATGCCTTTGATCCATTCTCAAGGAAGGTTTGCTTTTTGGATAAAAGCATAACTTTAATGTGAGTCACAAATCTTACTTACTCTGAAACAAAGGGAAAAATCCCAAATCAATCATTACATGTTTAATCAATAGATTAAATTAAATAGTGGCTGAAACTTTTACTTGCAGAGCTACCTTAACCAAAGCTGCTCTTAACCCTCGCTGTGGCAAACCGTGTGTTTCCGCCTCCTCGTTTTCTGGAGAAAGAACAACAAAATGTCTGTCTGCGCTTCAAAACAGGAATATTTTAATACGAACACAGCTGTGATCCAAAACCTCTCCTTCCTCTGCTTTTCTCCCCATTTCCTGAATCCAACCAGTCATCCTTCTCGGGGCCATGTGCATCCTGTTGCCTGCTGGCTGTGTTTTTTCCGTTTTGATTTTTTTTTTTCAGCCCCCTCCCCTTATGTGGATTTAGTCTGTAACAGTTCTGCAGATGAGTGAGTTGGATGTGGATATCACGGTACCTGATCTTTTCCCCTGGCCACTTCGCTGACAACATAAGGACTGTCAGCTGGAGAATGAAAATAGAAGAATCAAATCTGCAATGCAAATATATATATATATA